ATTTATCTGTCAGTCTGTGTTCAGTCAAATATAGGTCAGGGCAGACGGATAGGTTGATACAGCAAAATATTCAATGTTGTAACCCAAAGCCTGAGTACTGTGCAACAGCCTCAAAAAGCTTGGAGACAAACAGCAGTGTCTTGGCTGTATATAAAAGGTGTATGTAGTTCTTGTGACACCACCCATAGGTTTCTACACTTTGCATTTTAGAGCCTCATAATTGTTGTCAATGGGATTTTGTTTCTTTGGAGCCAGAACTTATTTGGATGAGAGGGGTGGAGTGCCCAATAATCAGTTAAGTAACCTAATAAAATACTAACATTTACTGCATCAAACGTGATATTTTTAATGTATTTAATATTAAATTAGAAAATAAATGAAAAAATAATTTCATGTTGTACTTATAGGATATTTACATTTTTAATGTTTTCCTTTAATGTCTCTTTTAAATCTTAAATTGCTTTTATTTATTTAAAAATTGTCTAAATGTTTCAGACTTCTCAAATAGATTGAAACTACTGAAAAAGACTTTAGTTGTATCAGGCTGTGAACAGGTGTATTTCTCCTGTAAAGCCAGATTACACAGCAGAGTGCAGACCTGTGAGCCTCTGCTGCATTTTCACTTTTAAATCAGTATTTTGGTAGAATTAACATTTTGGTGGGTTTAAGGGGTTAGACATTCTCTGACTGGAAATAAACTGGCTCTTTATCAACTATCTTAGAGTCTGACTCTTTTGGCATCCAAGCTGTACTTTTGAAAGAGAACCTTATTTTTACCTCCTTATACTACATTACATTACATCTGCACTGCATTTTCATTCTTGAAGTGTCAGGTGTCAAAGAATTACAACCCAAATGCAGACTGAGAAACAAAAAGAAAGAATCAGCCAAAATAAAGTCCAAGATTCCACAGGCAAAAAGGACACACTGTGAGGTCAGACAGACATCATGACAAAACACACAGACACATAAATGAGGCACAGGTGAAAGCAATCAGGGAAAATGCCAAACCGCAAGTAAAATTTTAGACAAGGCACAAGAGAGGGACTAACAAAGTAAAACAGGAAGTGGCAAACACGATACACACAGCAACTTAACACTAAGGAATCCTGTGGAAGGCTCAAAATAACAAATTCAGGACCCACGTCTGCAACTACACGCAGTCAGCTGTTGTCTTCAAAGCAGCTTTGGTGAATTGAAACAGCAATAACGCAGCAATAAGACAGTCTGCTGTCCATTTGCAGTTGAATGGGGTCAACTTGGGAATTACATGCAATCTGTGATTAAAAAAAAAATCATAAATCTGTTGTGATTGCACTGCATTCAATTGAATGCCAGAACCTCATTCAATTGAAATATAAATTCATCAATAAATAGTGGCGCATTTGCTTTGGGGCGGCAACTTAAGAGCAAAATGACAAAGGGCGCTCGGCAGTTTTGCTCTTATGGAGATATATCACCAGGTATATCAGCATGTCAACCAGGTGAATCCAGTCCAACCAGGTGAACTGAGTCACTGAGTTATTAAGTCACTGACTTGGGTTGACTGCAGCGTGTTGGTGGTCGATGAGTTCAGGCAGTCTGAGTCAGGACACAGTTGTTTGGAGACAGGTTGCCTTGTGATCAAAAGTGCAATATCTTCATCGCCTCATGGGCAACCAATCGGTCGCTGCAGCTACTTGCAATCAGTCCCTGACAGTATAAAAAATAAAACTGTGGTACAATCACGCATTTCTTTCCTAGTCACGAGGAGGCAGCCATCCTTTTGTGTGAGAGCTGCAGTGTGCAGACACACTAAAGTGCAGTGTCATGGCCTCAGTTCTTCAGCTCTGGCCTTTGTTTTTATCTGTGTTTATTTTTACCGTTGCCCAAAATTCCTTAGAGTTTAACTGATGAACTTTTAAACAGATGCACTAACATCTGTGTCACTGACTCATAATTGTTATTCATGCTCTATTTATCATGGTGATTAGGTGGAATTAAAATTTGTGCTTGAGTTTTTCAGATCTCATGATGAGCTCTGATTTGTCATGTCTAGATATCAGGGCAAGGTGACTTACTGTATTTTAAAATCATTTAGAAATGATGTCTCTTATCCACAGAGCCCGAGGCTCTTTATATTCTTCGTCTACAGGTAAGAAGCTGTTACTGGCAGAAACTGGAAAAATATTCTGAGGCTTAAAGGATTTACCAAATTTGTGGAAATACAAGGGCCGTAGGCAGGACTGAAACACATGCACTGAATGAGCGTTCACAGGAAGTCACCTGTTTACAGTTTGTATTTAGTGCAGCACGAGCCTTTTATTCTTCTAGCCTCCATTAGTTTGTAGCTCCATTACAAGCTAGCCTCTGTGGTTTATTAACGTGCATTTCAAAAAATAGCAATATTAAGCAACGATTAAGCAAACAAACTGTGTACATATACTGAGATTTATAGTCATATCATTACAGAATTGTTTTGAACCCAGCGTCACAATACTGCTGCGGTTTGCTCAGTATAAAACAAAGTCGGCATTGTCTTCATTAAGACTCAAGTCCCTGTTATGAAGCAACTGAGTGTTTGCTGGTTTGAATGTCACTGCTCGCAGACCACACATATTTCAACACGAAGCATAACAGCTCGTAAGTGTCAGAAGTGTCATGCTGGAGGTCCTCTGTCCTCCCTAAAGAAACCTCAAACAAGGGCAGGAATTCATTCAATGTCTATAAGGCTTTCAATGCATTTAATTAATCCGCAGCTATAAAATTAGTTTGTGATGGAGTATTGCTCCGCCTGAAGCTGGAAAAAATGCTTCAAATAAAGCGCAGAAGTCGATTTTCACTTTGGTCAACGTATTTTTATTCTCCAACCAAGAACCAAAGAACAGGTTTTTCTTCCAATAACTCAATAACTATATGGACCGTAAATAAAAGTCACACATTGTCACATCCATTTTAATGTGGAAGTCTATAGGGATCGACTCACTTTTGGAGCCAGCCTCAAGTGGCCACTAAAGGAGCTTCAGTTTTTGGTACGCTACACTGCCCGCTTGGGTCATACAGGTAAACATCCATGGATTAAACACCGATACATTAAGTGAGAGCTTATGTGCACTGAGTTTTGGGTTGTAACACCAAAAATGATAAGCGAGAGCAACGTTTAGCACAAATACTGACGTCAGTTCACTGGCATCATAAAAATTTCACCAGCAGCTGTTTCCTACACCTGCAAAAATCATCCCAATAATAAATAAACAGAAACCCAAAACTTCATAAGACAAGAACACTCACAAATCGTGCACACCAATCGAGACTCAAATATTTTAACTGAGACTGAAAAACAAGAATCCGAGACCGAAGAGACGCGCAACCGTGGCATGGAGCAGAAGCTGCAAATCTTCAGGGTGACAGTGTTGTGATTTATGGCTCGCTCTCATTTTACGACTTGTAGAAACTTCACTTTAAGTGTCGAGTTACTGATCTTCGGTCCTTGACAAACTCATAAACCTTTACGACTGAACTAATTTGCATATTAGTTCTGGAACAGAATGTTTACCTTCAGGCAAATATTACACAATCAATGTTCAGCTGCAGCAGTTGATGTTCGAGTTTTTATCGTACCATCACAGATTTACACATCAGCTCATTTATAGGATTTAACTGAAAAATAAGAATATATGTCACTGATGTTATTGCTGCTTTTATGTCTCTATGACATAAGAGAATAACAATTTCTCTCGGGGACAACACATCAGTCACCTCGTCCTGGTTCTCTTCCTGATTTATAACGTCCTTCAGATGTCAGAAAGTTCACATTTCTAAATATTTTAAAGTCTTCTTGGCAAAGGAACAGCTGCATCTTTTTTTTAAACATGGGGCTTGAACTGAACTTGAAGGCCCTGCAGTCATAAATCCATAAAATCAGCTAAACACAACAAGTATGTTAAGCACCGGTATTTTTTTTCTTCCATGACTCCCGCTCAAGATTGGCACAAATCAGATCAAGTAATGAACGTTTCATATCTAACTAAATATACATTAACGTGAAAATACTAAATAAAGTCAAAGTCATGACGTGGGTTTGCTTGGAATGATGGAAATTCAGCACTTACATATCAAGGAAAAGTTTTAGAGTTTAAGGAAATGTGTGTGTCGATTTCTGAGGAGAAATCTGAGCCTGGATATTGTAAAAAGGCTTCAAGCTCTCAGACATTCCTACTCTTTAGCACTGCCGTCAGAAGAGTTTTACATGTCATGACTGTGCAGCCTGCATCCCCTCTTTCTGAGGCTGAACTATGAGCAACAGTTTCCTGCTCGTTAATCCATATTACAGGCATCAACAGTGGCGTCACCATCCGTCTGAGCCAAAAAAGCTGATACGAGCACAATTTTTTAATGTTCTGCTCTAACATTTATGAAATAAGTCCTGATCAGAGTCTGAAGAAGCCCATCATAGTAACCTAAAGACTACTTTTGACTGCTAGTTACTGGAAAAACATAAGCATTTGATACAGCTTAAATAAGTATCCTAGAACGAATGACTTTAATCTAATAAACTAAGTGTATTAGAGCTGGTAGAATCAGAATCCTGTTTCCCTCCCCAGCCCTTCACTGAGCCTGGTTCTGCTGGAGGTTTCTTCCTGTTAACAGTCAGTTTTTTCTTCCCACTTTCACCAAATGCTTGCTCATACACTGTAAAATGTAATATTGTGTTTAGTTAAAAATATTAAATAGGCTGAACTCAGTTTTTATCACTTTGTTATTAGAACTCGATTTAAATAAGTTACCAGTACATTTTATGCAAAACCGCTGATAAACTCAATTTATTTGAGTTGTCTTAACTTAGGAAAAACTAAGTAAGATGGAAGTTTTGCTTCTCAGTGCGGAAGGATGAAAGATGTGTTTTGAAAATGCCACGTGACTACCGTCCTCCTCCCTCTCGGATCAGTCCGCATGTTCATGGTGCCAGTGTTTGTTATGGAATATGTTGAGCAAACCTGGAGAAGCGTCAGCTCAAGAGATTATTGTCATTGCTGTGAATCTTTATCTGATACACTGACTTGGTGAGTAAATGTTTACTCTTATTCAAACTGATTTTGTGGCTTCTCTTAGTTTAGCACCAGGTTTATAATCTTGCTAGCTAGTTAGTGTTAGCCTAGCGTTGCTGCTGCCGCTGGGCTCATGTTACTTAAAAATTAACACCACAGCCTTAAAAACCTTATATAAAATTATGTCTGTGAAATCTTCCGTTGATTGTTTGAAATAAAAAA